GAGGACTGTCCAGAAGTAGAGAACATTCCTGAGGTTAGAGGGATGTTCCTTTATATTGTACTCCATTTGAATGATTTGCAAGGTCCGTTCGGCTTCCTTYATCATGTGAGACGGGTCCGAGYGAATAGATTTAATATCATTCGCTCGGAACGTTTCGACRTCACCGCGTYTTATGACRAGGCTTGTRAAATTTACGAGYGCCTCTTCTAACAGGTGGCTTCTTCGGTATGCAGATGCCTAGYGGAYGGCGGGACTTCACTYASGCCAGATATYTACTGATTCRCGACACTACGGACGAGGAGCTGATCCGGCGAGCGGAGCGACTATTACTGGCTCGAGATGGAGTGCCCACACGTTGGGTCGGATTTATCGGCCTGCTCAGTGATGGGCAGGGATTTTTTCCCAACTCGCGCGCAGATGTTCGTGCCAATGTGGCCCGACTTCCGGGAGAAGTTCATGGATATACCTTGTACTTCCATCGCGCGAGCAACCTCCAATGCCTTTCTCGGGTCATTGTGAGCGTCAAAATTACCCTATCCGGGGAGCACTACGGCATCATCCAGATTAAAGAAACCACTACCACGCACCTGTTTCGGATGCGCCAACCGTTCCGTGCCATAGTTTGGAGGCTCGCCTCACGGGTGGTTTCTCTCTATGATACGCGGAAGGTCCGAGTTATGCGAGGCGGACGTGTCTCCACCTTAACTTTTGATGACGAGGAGCTTACGCGGCTCGACCGGATAAAGGTAGAGGCCCGTGAGGGCCGACAGGTTTATCCTTTGTAGGGCCACATCTACGTGACTCTACAAGGGTAATAATAACAAAAGAAAACAACAATCTTGAGTAGGTAGGCCAACCAGATGGATAGTATCTGGATTGCCGCGATGATAGCACTATCAAGCTGATGCATTGAGGGGTAATCGATCGCTGAAAAATGAGCCGAGCAAAATAAAAACCGAACACCTGAGAAGGTGTTGAGTAAAAGGGCGAGGGCGAAGTATCAGGAGACGAAACATCTCCATGCCAAGTATCTGGTGTTGGGGATGGGTACTTCGTCATTCGTGAAACGGAGAGAGTAATTATTGCCTAGGAGGACGAATCGACCGACAAAATTGTCAGTCGCTCCCCCGAATAGATGTATGCGGTACGACAATATGGTCGAACCGGGAGTTCAAATGCCGACGAGGAGCCAGATCACTTGTTGATCTGCATGGTACCAGCAGTATTTACTTATATAAGTTGTGCGTAACGGATATTCCGTCTTCGGACAACAGTAGCATTGTCTCTCCGGTCATGCAAGCAGGAAATGATAACCTYGGCAGGTCGTCTCGTCAAGTCGAAATGTTGTTTATGAGTATGAGATTATAACGRTACTAGGATTATACATAGGATTTCATGTTTGGTCGAGGCCGTCCTAGTCGAYCGATGCTCGTTCGTACCGAGGAGATCAGCRCCCTCGGGAACGGACKACGTTCGRGTCCACTTGGCRTTAACCAAGCGTACCTATACTCCAGCGAGCGAGCAAACGCCCTCGGCTGACCTACCTCTGCAATTGCATGTAAAAGYTTTCGCACGTGGGTCGGTAGCTCGGCGGGGATACGCCCCTAAGGGKGGTGACAGCCCCTTAGGGAAGGTAAGATGTGCCCCGCGAGAACCTATCTTGTCGTAGGGGACCGTGGGATGTACAGCTGGCGCACCCGGCTAGAGCGGCGAAGGGACAATGCAATCGCGTCCGTYTCGGCAGTTCGCGGGATTATTTATGCGTCGTCCTAAGTTGTCTCTTAATTTTGTTTGGTTATAACTCCTGTGTGAYATAGCCGGGAGGGCCCTCGCTCACGCGGGGGCCGATGCGCTCGAYAGGTGGCGCCGTTGYCGGGSATRACGGCGAATTACCATTRTCCCTGGWRGAACGACASTCGGRAAAATGATGGTTATAGGGATTTTAAGTATTGTGTATTATTTGTTTGGATTGAAAGTAGTCAGTAGTTATTAATGTCTGGGAGAAGAAAAGAAGGCAAGGTTTGGAGTGAATTGTTRGAATCTATTTGACACTTGGACRTGTGGGTTTGTCGTGTTGATTCTCTCAAGATGACGGGAGGAAATGTTGATCYCGCAAATAGTAATRCAGGGGATCGTCKCAAYGATATTCTGRAACTCGYACGAGCCATTCGTGAGGCCGATAATCAGAAGGCGCAACTGCCAAAGGTTCAAGTTCCCCTCTTCGATGGCACCAATGCCTCAACATGGGCGGACAAGTTTGAACAATTGGGCAGTTGCTGCGAATGGTCGAGTAAGAAGATGCTTCAAATGGTGCAGCGATATTGTATGGTCGAGTATAAAGAGGAGGTGTTGAAGTTGGTGCAAGCTTCGCGCGACTGGCCGGACTTCAAGGCCAAATTATTGGACAAGTACCAGTTGGGGGATCAACTGCTCGATCTGGCGGACTTACGGAAGGTTAGTCGTCGGAAGTTTGGTACAGCCAAGCAGTTTCTTAGGGAGTTTGAGCGGGTTGCGCGCTTAGTGGTTGATCTTCCTGATAAGGATCGGTGCCTTATCTTCCTCGAAACCTTTTCAGAAGTTGAGCAGCGAGAACTGATGAAGGACATGACGGGGCGATATGACTGGCCAAAGATAAAGGAAAATCTGTTGGCCGGAAGTTTCGATCAAATGCTTTACCGTCTCCTGAAGCAGCAAAAGGAGGACCGTGAGAAGGAAGGGGTAAGCGCGGACAAGGATCAAGCCGTTTACAAGACCCTGACTGATATGCGGAACATGATGGCTGACATGAAGGAGGAAAGGTTGAAGTTGCAAGTGATGATGGTCCAAACAAAGGGTGGAAAAAGGAAGGGAAAAACTCCCGTCGTGGAGGAGGTGAGCAGTAGCAGCRGCGAAGAGGAAGATRAGGAGGAAGTGCAGCCCGCTCGAAAATTGACCAAGGCAGAACGGAAGACCCTGAATCAAATACRAGRAGGGCAAKGTRCTARCAAAAAGCAACGAAACAATAATGGAGGAGGTGGACAAGGAAGCAACCAGGAAYAGGCGGCGCAGACCCCTCCTCAGCAACCCCAACCTCAGGCAGGAGRSCGGGGCCGAGGTCGAGGTAGAGRCCAAGGCAATGGGGGAGGCCGAGGAAATGGGGGCGGCCGAGACAATTGGCAGAATTGGTTTTGCAAGTACTGTGGCCAAGATGGACATGGGATACGGTTTTGTCAGACCTTTACCAAAGATGAAAACGATAAGGTTATATATACGAATATCCGAGGCGAGGTCTACAACTTCGAAAGGAATCTCATCGATCCCAATGTGGAGGGAGGAATGAGAAAGGAAGCTTTCCGACGCATGGGGCGARATCTTCCAGCAACTTTTCGACTGGCTTCTCCGGAAGAAGTCGAACAGATTGAGCTGGAAGCGACGATGAAGTCATTGACAATTGAGGATGTCAAGGCCGGAGATGAAGGTTTGAGCAAAGGGCAGGAAGAGATACTGCATCGAGCCCAGTTGGTGGTCAAGAAGATGAACCGATGTCGGAAAACTTTTGTTCAAATATGCGCCGACATGAATGAAGAATGGTCCGGGCTTCCCCAAGTTTTTTTGTTTGGAGGATGGGACAGAGACGGCCAAGGAGGTCTTAATGATGTTAGCGCACCACAATCTGGATCGCCGTCGGCAGGGCGTTTGATGGCCACCACGGTCTTGTCCCGTCCTGCGTTCAAGCGACTGCCACTGCTGGTCTCCCACAAACTCGGAGGGCTCGAAGGCCATCGCGGCCAAGGGCAATGCCAGAAGAAGGACCAAGTCAGCCTCGGGAAACCGAGACGATTTCGATTGAAGAAGACGATGGCGAGGAGGAGGAATTGCTGCGAGCCGAAGATGAGAGGCAGGCCAAACAACGAGCCATGGAGAGGGAGCCAGAAACGGGCAAGGCCGATATTGGGGAAGGTGAGTTGAAAAAGAAGAAGCAAGTTTACACAATCCCGGTGGAGCAAGGATTGGATATCAAGCAAATCGTGGACCGGATTTTGAAAAGTCAGCGTGATCTGTTCACGCTCAAGGAATTCTTGGCCGCGTCACCGAAAATCCGACAGGAGTTCAGACACCGACTGTCAAGGAAAAAGGTGATGACGGTTAAGATGAGTGATATCTTTCCTGAAGAGATTGATTGGGCTCCGCCTGGGACAAAAATGGACTGGCACTGTGTAGCTACTGGGTTGTTGAAAGTGCAAGTTGGGCCGTGTGAATATTCGGCGCTCATCGATGATGGGGCTGAAATGAACATTATACGGGAAAAAGAAGCCATGGGGGCAGGAGTCAACATCAATCGAGCAGATACTAGATTTCTGGTGGGTGCAAGTGAGATAACTCCCTTTTGCGGAACGGCGAGTGACAAGACGGTACAAGTTGGTAAAGTCAAAGTCCGTTCTTATTTCTATGTGCTACCCAGGGTTGAGCATGCCGTGTTGCTGGGCAGAGCTTTTCTATGTCGATCAGAATCCATCATCTTTAACAAGCACGATGGTACTATGATCGTGGTTTTGTGTGACCCCGTATGTGGCTACTACGAGGTGCTGAAGTGTGAGAACACARGACCAACCAACTCAAGGAACCRACTCAATCCGGGGTCCTACTCTTTCACGGAATCCAAAAGACTCAGAAGGGAGAAGGAATCCCTCGGAGAAGAGAGCGATCCCCAKGAATTTTCTCTTGCTCTACCCAACATCTCTCAAGCGATCGAGTTCGTTGCGACAGACTCRTYTGTGGATCCCAAGTTGGTCAAAACATTGACWGAGATTGTGGCAGGAGAAGGCGGGACTGGTAGGATGTAWCTTACCTATCGGCCCKACAGGTCTTCTGAGGGTGATGCATTGGCGRAGCCAGAAGCCAAGCAAGGGYSTTTTTKAGAGGTGGACGACTTGGAGTTGGAGCGAAACGTAAGTACAAGAGAGTAGGCGAGAAAGYTCRGYCAGTGCCCGTCTTGATCACGCAAGAAGAAGAAGTGTATTATAAAGAAGAAAGAGAGTGGATCAGGATGRGGAAGGAAGAGAGTGTGAAGGSGCCATGTCGATTGACGRAGGAAAGRATTAAGAATATGATCATTRGAGAGGAAGGGTCTCTTACTGARAARGAGGTGGACTTYCTTGTCAGYGTCATGAAGGAAACCCATCYGGCTTATGCCTTCRATGATGATGAGCGAGGGAGGCTTGACGTTGACCGGATTCCAATGATCAGGATTCATACGGTACCTCACGAGCCGTGGAACATACGAGGCCCACGTTATCCGAACMYGGATGATCACCGTAGAGTCGTTGAATATTTGGACAGTAAAATTCGGACAAAGGTCGCGRATTACTCGTATGGACCATATGCGTCCCCTWGGTTTTGTTTCATCAAGCCAAATGGCGTATTGCGATGGGTGCAGAATTTGCAGAAGCTGAACTCAGYGACGGTTCGTGATGCCGGAGGACTTCCACATGCCGATCAACTGTCTGAATCGTGCGCAGGCAGGCCTATCATAACTCTCATTGACTTGTACTCAGGATATGATCAATTCYCTCTCTACACGGCAGACAGGCCGATGACGRCCATGCATACGCCGAYGGGATTAATTCATATGTGTGCGGCGCCTCAAGGATGGACGAAYGCCGTAGCCATTGTTCAAAGATATATGATGAGAGTCATGCAGCCGTTTTGTCCGGACGTTACCTCGCCTTATATYGATGACCTGGYCATACCTGGGCCACGTGTGAAGGATGAAACGGAGGTGTTGYCAGGCGTTYGAAGGTTTGTTTGGGAGCWCGTTCGYGACGTGGAGAAGGTCTTGTCCAAATTGAAGGAGTACAACCTCACCGYCAGCGGTGTCAAATCTCRGCACTGTATGCGTGAGGCAACTATCTTGGGCTTCTTGTGCGATGAGAAGGGCCGTCGGCCAGATTCCAAGAAGATAAACAAGATTCTGGAATGGCCGACTCCGCTCAAGTCCATCACTGATGTGCGCAGTTTTTTGGGGACTTGCGGATTTTGACGCATCTTTATTCGCAAGTTTGCAGCAAGGGTGGAGCACCTACAGAAGTTAGTGCGTAAAAATCAGGAATGGGAATGGGGTCCAAAGCAGCAGGCGACAGTTGACGATATCAAGGCACAATTCCGAGAAGGAGGATTGATCKTGGGGGTTCCGTACTTTGACAATGACCCGAATCGGCCCTTTGTGGTTGAAACAGATGCAGGCCCCACAACATTGGGTGGAGTCCTCATCCAAAAGGATGGASAAGGGCGAGAAAGGYCATTGAGATTTGAAAGYCGAACGCTGAATGAGGCGGAACGGAAGTATTCCCAATTTAAGAAGGAAACCYTTGCAGTGCTTCATTGCTTMAGGATCTTCCGAAACTACGTGTTTGGAAGACGRTTCGTYTTGCGGGTTGATCCGACCGCCCTGGCGCAGTCATTGAAGAATTATTCTCCCTCGGATCCAACTATTGCTCGATGGTTGATCYATATCTGGATGTTCGATTTCGAGATCGAGCGWATTGCGGGAACACAAAATCGAGCCGGCGGATTGAGTCGGATCGAGTGGGACTCCTCGAAAGATCAGGCAGAAGACTCGGTCCCTKTGGATGGGTTTCTGAAGACGGACGAGCAACAACTAAGTATCRATGTTTGGGAATACATCAGTAATGCGTCGTCCCGACCTGGGAAGTCTATYTGRAGTTCGTTGAGTTCTTATCWAAARTGTGCAGAGCTGGTGATSAGGGAACCYTTTTTTGAGGAGGATCCTTGGGGTGAACGGTCTGCTGAGCGGATGATGAGGTTGRCGTTGTCTSACCYAGTACAACTTTCGGAAGAACCTCTTACGATTGAAGGGGGGCATGAGCAAGGCGACGAAGTCCTCAAGATTTCTGGGGGAATGGTGTTTCTTGTTAATTCGTTGATACAGGAAGATCACGGTAAGCTAATGTTGGAAGAAGGGGAAGGCAGTGAGATCAAAGAAGTTTTTCGTGAGGAGGAATATGATGAGACTTATAAGAAGATTGGGCTATGGTTGAATGGGGACCTGAATGAGGCAGAGATAGAGCCAGAAATAAGAGAAAAGGCAAAGGGTTTTGTCGTTCGACAGGGGCATCTCTTCAAAAAKTCAGACGATGGTACGCCTAAGAGAGTGGTGTGTGGGGTTCCCAAACAGTTGGATGTGATTGCGGCCCTACATGATGGAGTGGCATCGATCTACGCGAGTGACCTTAAGAAAAATCCAACATCTCTATTTTTGGGACAGTATGGGTAAGATGGTGACAGAGTTATGCAACTCGTGCATCCCCTGTCATAAACGTTCGAATCTCCGCTATGTTGAGCCACTTAATTCACGATATGTGGTTGAGCCAGGTGCGGTTGTGCACCTCGACCTGGTCGTTATGCCACCCGAACTTAGTGGGTATAGATACATTTTTTATGCGAAAGACAATCTTACCGGGTTTGTTGATGGGCGTGCAATCCGTGAGCGAACCGGAAAGATTTGGGCGGAGTGTATCGAAGAGTTTTACCTTCGGTACCCATTTGTTCGGGAATTTGTGATGGATCGAGGCGRCGAATTTCGGGCAGCAGAGGTTCAGGCTCTTATGAGGAGACTGGGAGTAAACTATAGTTATACCACTAGAGCGCACCCCCAAGCTAATGCTCCGGTCGAATGTGTACATGCCACCTTGACCAATTTGCTAGCTAAATGGTGTGCTGGCAAGCCATCAACATGGCCCGTCTATCTCAGAGCTGCCATATTTGTTGAGAAAATAACTGTGAAACGAACTACTGGGTATGCTCCGGTCACGTTATGGTTTGGACGACATGCTACATTTTCAATCGCGAGTTTCCTGACCACATGGCAAAAACAGGATATGAAGGTCATGCTTTCTATAGAAAAGTTGCTAGACCTGAGGGCCAGACAAATACAGACGATTGAGGAAAGAGTTGTAGAGGCTGCTGCTTCAACTGCGGACAGCAGACGGGCGGACAAAGTTAGATGGGATAARCAACCCCGGGTTAGAAAGAAGCCGTTGGAAGTAGGGGATATTGTCCTCCTCTATGACTCTTCTTTTGAAAAGCAGTGGTCGAGGAAATTAGATAATCGATGGATGGGGCCATATCGTATCATTAAGAAAACAGAGCATGGGGCATACGAGATTGAGGAGATGGATGGAGCATGTGGGCGAGATTGGGTTTCGGGCTCACGCTT